TAGTGGTAAGGCCTTGTAGGTACCTTCACCCCAGTCTAGAACCTTAAATAATTTTCTATGGGATCTAAAGCACACCACTTTTCCTTAATTTTAAAAGTGAGAACATTTGAAACACTGTATCCATATCCCATAAATTATCTGCAAAAGTCTGCTGCCACCAGGAAACCCTACACATCACCTATCCACTCAAGAAACACAACCAGATCTGCCAGCCTAAACCCTCAACAGGCCTAACCACCCAGTCTGCCATGCATTTTACAGGGAAACAATAACACAACTGAAAGGGCCCCCCAGGACTCAGGGAATGCCCCTTAGGATCTGGCATGCCAGGTTATTATTCAACACTGATGCTGGCTGGTTCCTTTTTTTTCTCTCTCTTTTCAAACTACACCTTTTTTCCTCCAAGCAGTGTAAACTTCAGAACTCAAACAGAGTAAGACTCTTCTCATTTCCACATGGCAAGCTACAATCACTTAACACACTGTCTGACTCTAGTTCCAGCAATGATGGAATATCCCTGATTTCCTCCTGCCCATGCAGTCTACCTCCAGGTACAAAGAGACCATGATAAAGACAAATGCCACAGGCACACAGATCCCACAAAGTTTGTTAATGATTGCTACCATCAGCTTCTGACCCAATACACGAGGTACAGAAGGAAGAGCATGTGCATAAATACCAATTCTTGAGATACTGCTTTGCCTTTTTCTTTAAAGTAAATTCAAATGCCCATAGAATTTATAGAGCTGGTGTAGAAAATAAATAAGCAAATATTTTCATCTTCTATCATGCCTACTACAATAATATAATGTTTAGTTGATAAGATTTAGAATTTTGTTGTAAAGAAATTTATTTTAAAGAAGCTAGAGCTTAACATCTGACTTACTTCAGCATAGGGAAAACTCCACCCTTTTCCCAACCCTGAAAAAACACATGCACAGCCTTAACTTCATGTACTCGGTTATGCTTGATAACTTAAAGCAGAACAGCAGCAAAATTTCTGCTGCAAAGTAACTAATGTTTCTAGATTGATTCCAGCAACTCTCCTACTTGCCTTTTACATGTATAACTCCTCCTCACTTCACTGTACAGAGACATGAATACGAAAAGAAGTTCCCAGGGTTTACAGGGTTCAAGAGGTATAACTTTGCTCATGAAAATTTGTTTTACCCAATGTACCTGTATTAAATAATCAGTACAATGGTACAAATAATGATTTAATTTCATTTGACATCAGACAAACACCTTCACCACAGTATTAAATAATTCCAATTAGCTTTTATTTTCAAAAGCTGCTTACTACCAGTGCTTTCACACAGAAGTTTTAAAAAGTACTCTAGCTTTTATTTATGCTGTAGAAGGAAGTACCTATCGGTGGAGAAAGTGTTGCTGTCATAGCATTATAATTAAAGTTATCTGCGTATGAACGATGGTTCGCTCTCTGAGGTGGACTTGTTGGTATAGATTGTGACCTTTGTGATACCGTAGAAGAAATTCCAGCCAACATCTGTCCCAACATCTGTAACATCTGGAGTTCTCGAGCATGCTCAGCTTCCCGACGCTTGTCCTCAATTTTGAGCCTCTGCTCTTCGAATCTGTAAAATTTCTCATCTGTATCCATGCTCTGCTGCAGGAATTTTTCCATCATTTTATCCATTGTCAAATTAGTATGGCGTTTTTTTGATCTTTTGGGCTGATTGAGAGGTGGGGTAATAGTTGGAGTACTGACTTCTTTAAATCCTAAAGCAAGGAAAGAATCTATTATTTTTCTGATAAAAAAAATATTTTAAGAGGAAAGCAACAAAAAAATCCCCTTATAAGATATGACCTAAACTTCTTATAAAGCATTAGATCACACTTTCTCAATGTGAACTGTATTTATGTGAGATAAACAATACTTCTTTCAGAGTACCAAAGCAAACCCACAAATTTCTACCAAGCTGCAAGGCTAACACAAAAATCACAGAGCCATTTTTTAATTGTTGTGGTACTAAACTTCAACAATAGAAGTCTTTTTTATCTTCTAAAAAGGTTTAAGTGAAGGTTATTAAATAGTATAGCCTCATTTGTCTATTGCAGATAATTACATTATTTAATTACAAATTAAATTGAGTTTCAGTCTGTTGGCACTCTAGATTTGCATTTCAAAAGAACATTAGTGTAAACAACTCTTTGATGGGGTTTAAGTGTAAAAAGAAGGTTGCTTAAACGTCAACCAATTGGCTGATTCCTACGTGATGTCAACTTCTGAAGACAGGTTCATGTTTGTATTAAAAACCCTGCACTAATCTAGATTGAAAACAAACAAGCAACATTTCCCCCGCACCTCCGCAATACGAATGTGGAGAGTAAAGAACGCGCAGGGAAAGGACAGGCTTTATCAAAGCCGCTGTTTCTGTCCGCAAGCCCGATAAAGTTAGAAACAGTGTTTCTGAAACAACCCCGTGCGTTTTATTATGTAAAAGCTGTCCCCTAGCTTTCTGGCCCAGCTGCGACAATAAGCAGATTTTCCAGATTTATCGTCACCATCGTTTTAACACCGATTAGCAAAACTGCACTCAGTCTACAGGGAACGGGAGAACACTCCAGCGAGAAGGATGCTTATTTTCTTGTACAATGCTACCTGACACTTTGTCTCGATAATCTCTGCGCTAGTTTCCCATGGCTTTCCCATTGACAAATACCGATAAAAACTCAATAGGGTCCCCGTCTGTAGCATTTCCCCTCCCCGGCATGCAGCATTTCCAGCACCCGCAGCAGCCCGCTCCCCAGTTCACGGGGACGCGCAAGGTGCAAGAGTGGGGGGAAGCACGGGAGGGTTTCGGAAAGCGAAGGACGGGGCAGGAGGCAGCAGGAAAAGGCGAAAGGCACCCAGAAGCGCGCTAGCTGCAGAGAAGCGGCGGCAGTCGGGCTGCGAGAGCCCGCGGGGTGAAGGGAGGACACCCGGCACGCACGCTACTCACCGTCACCCGGCGGGACGGGGATGGCGAAGGACGGGCACTCCACCTTGATGGGGTGGTCGGCATAGGAAGAGCACTCGCCGGAATCCTCGGTGAAGTTGTCCCGGGGTGACTCCGGCCCAGCGTCCTCGTCCAGCTCGGCGTCCAGCTCGCGGCTGTTGTGCGGCGTGCCCGGCGTGGGCGGCGCGGCCAGCGGCCCCGCGGGCGGCTGGGCGCCGTCGGGCGGCGGGGCCAGCGGCTCGGGGGCGCCGTCGGGCCCCCCCCGGCAGCTGAGGATCCGGTCCATCTCATCGTAGTACTTGCATATCTTGCGGGCGTGCCCGTTCTTCTTCAGCCCGTCCCGGGCCTGGTAATACTGCCGCTTGAGGCCCTTGATGCGGATGCGGCACTGCTCGGGGGTGCGCTCGAAGCCCAGCTCGGCCAGGCGGCACGCCACGTCCCGGTACACATGGCTGTTCCGAAAGTTGCCGTCCAGCGCCGACTGCACGTCCGCCTCGCCCCAGATCTCCAGCAGCGCCCGCGTCTCCAGATCCGACCACAGGAAGCCCCGCGTGTTCGTAATCATCCTTGGCCGGCCGGGGTCACTGCAATGGCCGCGCACCGGGGAGAGGGAAGGAGGGAGGGAGGGAGGGAGAGAGGGAGGGACGGAGGGGGCGGAGGAGGGCGGCGGGGAGGAGGGAGGGGGTTTAATGCCCGCACGCGGCTCTCCCAGGGGGCGCCTACGCCAGCCCCGGCAGCCGCGGTGCGGCGGGAAGCGGCGGAGAGCCGGGCCCCGGGACCCGCATCCCGGGCCGCCGCCGCTCGCAGCCCGCCCGCACGCACGCAAGCAAACTAAACTTTCCAGGCGCCGCTTTGCGCTACGGGCACCTGCAACAAGAGGGGTGGTGAGGTGGCAAGAAAAAAAGAAAAAGGAAAAAAGCCTCTTCCCCTTGACCCGCCCCCTCCGAAAACGATGATGATAAATAAAAAATAAACAAGCAGGCACCCGGCGCGGAGCCGCGGTCCTCTCCTCCCCCTCTCTCAGGCAGTCATTCGTGCGCTGCCGCTCCCCCGCCCCGGGCTCCGCTGGGAGCGACAGGACGACGGCGCTGGCTGGACTTGGAGGCTCTGCTCATCACAGTGCGCCTGCCTCCCTCCCTTCCTTCTCCTCCCTCCCTCGCCGCCGCAGTGGAGCGCGATCCCTACACACACACACACCCACACACACACACCCACACACACACCCAGGACGCTGCAGCTCCGCTCGGCTCCTACCTCACCCCCGCGCACCGCCGTGCCGGGCCGCGCCGCGCCAGCGCGGGCAGCGACATCGCTGCGCCCCGGCCGCCGTCACCCAGCCTGGGGCGGGCGAGCTCCCTCCCGCACCCCGCCCCGGCGCACACACGCGCGGCAGCGCTGCCCCTGCAGGCCGCCACAGCAGCCGCGCCGCAGCCGGCGCCGCCCGCAGGCCCGGGGGGACCCGGCAGCCGCTGCCCTTGGCAGACCCTGCGGCGGTGCTGGGGGTCGGGTCTGTGAGCGCTTCCCCCGCCCCCCGGCCGTCCCTCCGCGGAGCAGGTGAGCGGCCCGGCCGGCCCCCGCGGCAGGCGGGGGTGGGCTGCATCGTGCCGGGCCCCGCTGCCGCCCCTTCGCTTTGCTTTTGCTCTCCGGCGGGAGCGTCACGAGGCCGCCGCCGCCTCCCTCCGGCCTCGGCCCAGCCCCCGGCGGGGCTGCCTGGCGCGGGGACCTCTCCTCCCGTGGGGAGCAGGCACCGGCCCGACCGCCCGCGGGCTCCGGCAGCACCCGGCGCCCCCCCGGCCCCGCCTCCCGCCCGGGCCGGCGCTCGGAGGTTTGTACCTTCGTCACGCCGCAGCCAGAGGGCCGCGGCCAGCACGGCCAGGGCGATGACAGCGCCCCGTCCCCACATCCTCGCGGGGCCAAGGCAGGGCCGCTCCGCTCTTACCTCGGCACAGCGCGGGGCTCCGCACAGCCGCTGCCCAGCGCGCACAGCTCATCGGCGCGGCTTCCGCCTCCGCTCCGCCGGGCCGGGCAGGGCTCCGCGGGCGGCCGCGCCCTCGGCACCGCTCCGCGCCTCCCCGCGGGCCGCCCGCGCCCCGCGCAGCACCGGCGGGCGGGGCCGCCGCGGAAGGCTGTGTGGTAGCGCCCGGCTCGGCCCGGCAGCGGAGAGCTTGGAGCGGCTGGCCTGGCCAAAGCCCGGCGCTTTGGGGCTGTCTTCCCGGCCCTTTAATTAGCAGCTCTTATAAACTCCCAGGAATTTATTGCTTCACGCTCTTCCCATCCCTCACCTTGCCAGGTGTTTCTGAGAAAACTCCTCATTTACAAGTGTGATTTGCTTCTAAGGTGCTATTTCTTGCTCAGATACATCATTTTCCCCTATACAGAGCACTTCCCCTATATTCCACTGGTGAGGCCACACCTCAAGTACTGTGTCCAGTTCTGGGCTCTTCAGTCCACAAAGGAGACTTGAGGTGCTGGAGCAAGTCTAGAGAAAGGAAACAAAACTGGTCTGGAACACTAATCCTGTGAGGAGCAGGTGAGGGAGCTGGCGTTGTTTAACCCGGAGAAAAGGAGGCTCAGGAAAGCCCTTATCACTTTACAACTATCTGAAAGGAGGCTGTAGCCAGGTGGGGGTCAGTCTCTTCTCCCAGGTAACCAGTGACAGAACAAGAGGACACAGTCCTGGGCCAGGGGAGGTGTAGGTTGTACATCAGGAGGAATTTAATCACAGAAAGGGTTGTTAGACCTTGGAATAGGCTGCCCAGGCAGGTGGTGGAATCACTGTCCCTGGAGGTGGTTAAGGAAAGACCAGATATGGCACTTAGTGCTGTAGTCTAGTTGATATGTGTATTCCTGTGATTTTATAGCAGCATTCCATTATCATTTTCTTTAAAACACAACAGAGCTGGTGAAACTACCATCTGACGTTCACCTCTGGTCCTGCAGCACCTGCACAGGAGGTGCAGGTAATAATCTCCACAATGAATCAAAATGCAGTGTCACCCAGGAGAAACTTAATAAGATTATATGCATGAGAAATCGGAAACATTTATTTAAAGCTCAAAACAGGTGTAATTTCTGCTCTAGACTCCTGGGTATTTCAAGGAGTGTTGGTTAACTTATAAAAGCTTGTAGCCTAACTGGCAGTAAAATGTCAGTGTTTCAATTAATATTTTGAAGGGGTGAAGACAGATAACATTTTCCTTTACTGTCCTGTATTATATATAAGCTGTGGTCAAACAGACTTGCTGGTGTTACCTGGACCAAACCCAAGCATGAGATATTTCTATCTTTCAGCTTCAGAAGCAGTGCTTAAAACAGCCATGCTCTCTGCAGAGTACAAGACGGACAACCTGAACTTTTAGTGACCCAGGTTGATCAGTAACCCATGTTCCGGAGCAGGACCTTGGATACCTGATGACTTCACTGTCAAGCATTAACTTGTTTCTTGAAAAGTTGCTCTTCTATAGGTCCTGGTATCTGGTATGATTTTAAAGCCAATACCAAGTCAGTGAATTTTCCCCTTCATTCAGTCAGCACAAGTAATGCTTTTTACCCTCTAATTATCTGAGTGGTAGCCAAAAGATAGATTAAACAATCACATTTAGTTTGCACAAGAATTTTAACCAGAAAAAAAAATGTTGAACACCACATTTCATACACTCATGTTTTGATTCCAGCTGGAGAGGTAATGAATGTTTAGATTCCCATAACTCTAGCACTGATTAATGTCTGGAAGAGAGCCGGGAAAGAATAATGTGGATGCTGTTTTTATCCCATCAGGTATCCCTACCAAAGGCACATATTGTGCCCAACAAAGATATTGTAATGTTTTTTGCTGAGTTCTCTAGTTTCCTTTGTAGCAGAGGTGGAAAGGAATTCTGATGCTGCAGGCATCATAACTTGTTTGTGGAGGACCAAATTCTCAATTTATGTGTGGAAGAAAACCTAAGGGTGTCTGTGGGCTTCCTCTATGCCACAGTTCTTCATCTTGTTACACACAGCTTTGTTGTGCACAACAACTTTTTGTAACCACGGGAGCGTAAAATGTTTGAGCAAAACATGTTGCCACTTCCCCAACATTCTCCTGCTCTGTGTCTAACTCAAGGTACCTTCTTCTGGTATAGTACTGGCTGCCATCTCCATACCTTGTACAGTATAAATCCATAATTTCTGGTGCCATCTCTGAGTGCATCAACAGCAACACTACTTAACCAGCAGATGAGGCAGGGGAAAAGGGTCTTTAACAGAACTGCAGAAGGTAGGAGGTGTATGAGGCAAAAGTGCACACTCCCACCAGAGAGGCAGAGAAAAAGCAGCTGCAAGAGGCACTTATTTCTTCAGGTATATACTGTGCTTGTCCAGTTTTTTTTTTTTTTTTTTTTTTTTTTTTTTTTTTGTTGTTGTGCTTTCTGTTCTGAAAGTCTTGTCACTTTCTCCGTGTGTCCCTCTTACATGAAAGGAGAAACGACCTTGCAGAGTTCCATTTCCTTCTTCATCAAAATCATTCTGGCTTCATTGCCTGTTGCTGACCCCTGCCTCTTCCTCAGAGTCTTGTCCCTCCTTCCCTAGCTCTTGATCTCAACCTTGAGTTCCGACATTTCAGCCCTTCCCTAGCTGCGCTGTCAAGGCACCATATCTTTCTCATTAGTGGATTAACTACTGTAACCTGTACTTCCCCTGCTAAAAAAAAAAAAAAAAAAAAAAAAAAAAAAAAAAAAAAAAAAAAAAGAGGCATCAGTAGCCAGCCTGAGAATGTCCTACTGCTGTAAAGGTAGACAAGAGCTTGGAGGTTTGGCTTTGTAGTAGATGGCAGCAGTCACTGACAGCTGGTGCTTGCTGGGAACAAACAGCTGTTAGCTAGATGTCCCTAGGTGGAGACCCCAAAATAGTGACCATTCAGGACCATTTTTTCTTCTGCAGCTTCCTGATGAATCCTTGGCTCTTTGCTCCTGATGACTTTGCACCCACTCAGCACTTCAGTCCTTTCCACCCATTTGGTAACTGTTGTGCAACCCTGCCTACCAAAGCCTTTCCAAGGTGAATGTGGACACCAGATGTCAATAGCAGAGTTTGCAACATCCTTTGATTGCATTCTCTCCACTTAAACAATTGACAGCCTGTACTGGAATCACCATTTAATATAATAAATATTACAAACATATCCCTGTCAACATATGCATATTAATAATTGCAATAGGAGGTTTAAGCATGCATGTGGGGAAAGGTAATGGAAGAACTCAGAAGTAATAAGTAGCTCTAATTGAAACTGCCCATAAAATACCACCAAGGATTTCTTTGTTGTTGAAATGGGAATCTGGAAGCACCTTTCGTTGTGAAAAAGATAAAGGAAGTACTAATTTCATTTGAATGATTACCTAGCTAAATTGCAGCTGTTAGAATTGATAGTGGTGATAGAGAAGGCAGAAATGGTATAGGTGTTCTGATAACAAGAGGGCAAATCCTGCAGGTGTTATTAGTAGTGCTATTTACTGTTTTTAAATTGAGTGGAATTAGCATGTTTTACGACACTAGTATGTTTATCATAATACAAAATGTGGCTATTTGGTGTAAATTTTAATTTACTAGTTTGATGTCTCTGTAGGCCACAAAGAAACTAGGAACACTTGAAGCTATAGTAATTATTCCTGTCACTTCACTTTGTGTATTTTTATTTTTAAGAGAAAGGATAGCTGCAAGAAATTGACAGCAAGCTGTTACAAGAACACATCAACATGGCTTTGGTTTTCCTATAAAATTTACTAAACAGGAATGTTGTATGGGCTGAAAAAGGAAAAGAAAACTATATATGGAAAGAAACAGACCGACACCTGATTAAATACTGTGTTAAAAGTTTGTCCCTACAGTTTGTAGGGATACTGGGTAATCACTAGGTAATTTTTGTTTTACTCAAAGTGAACAACACTCTTTCTGCTGAGTGTTAATGGTGGAAAAAATAAACATGAAGGAAACAATAAAAAGGCTGTTTCTGGTTTGTACTCTCCTTGGAGCAAGAAATAAGAATGATCTATGTAGTGCAAGAGAAGTGAAGAAGGTTTTTTGGGCTCACCCAAATCCTTCAAACAAGTTCCTGATATCTAGTGCAAACAATTATGTAAAACCTCTTAAGCAACAACCAAAGTGTTAAAATAAATGGCCTCTTTTCCAACAGAGATTAATGAGACTCTCAGAAAGTTGATACTGGGAAGTTACACAGTTTTTTTAAAAACTGCTTTATCCTGTTCTTTGGTGGCAGAAGATAACATTTGCCAAATCCATTAATTTACACAATTTAGAAGACTGCTATTATTATGAAATAAACCATTTATATAACTTTTTTACTATTCAGTAATGTAATTTACACATTATTTTAGTTGTGTTGTAGCTGAGCTTGAAGGCTTTGCCTGAGCATCGTCTTACCCATTGTATATATACAAATGTCAGCCCCTTGCTCAAAACCGTTTTATGTTTATTTAAGAGGCACAAATACTCAGAATGATGGACAGATTTATAAAAAATAAATTGGTTTTACCTTAAGTGATACAGCTCAGTTCAATCTTGGGAAATCATAGTGGATATTGAACATAACTGCTGGAGGAAGGCTACATGCTGTATTCACAAAGGGATTTGAACACTGAAAGGTTCCTTTTTCAGGTGCCTCACTTCGCTGGGATTTTTCCCCCTGTAATGTGTTGCTACTTATCTCATAGAGCCAGCATATGAACTTTAGCAGTTGTGTCCCCAGGTTTCTCTGAAGACTCTGTAGTTGCTTCCCCTGCAGCCCCTAAGCTTTGCATTTGTCGTCAGGCTCAGATTGCTGTAATGCCACGGGTGATGTCTGCCTCCAGTTGCTTCTGGAGTTGTGCATAATCTTTTTGCCCACAGGAAAAAGCTGTAGTTCTCTTTCCTCCCTGTGAGAGCTGTTCCTATTACATATTCCTGAGCTCTCATATATAGAAAATATATTCTAGTCCTTAATATGCCTGCACTTCAATTTGCAGGTGTTAGAATTAAACATACGTACCCTGGTTTTGGTTACAGCATCTTCTACTTCAAAGTCAGCTTATATGCATGTACATTATTACTTCCTGTGACTGCCACAGCTGTGTAAGTGTATGGGCAGCAACAATTCGTTTTCTCTACACCAAGGCCAGCTCTGCAAGTTCTATTGGGATAATTAATCCTATTGTGGGAGGAGAAGGTAACGTAGAAATAAAAGCTAAAATAGGGTAAAAGGGTGGATATAACTATGTTGTTATAAAGATGACACATCCAAATGATGATGTTCCTTGCTGTATGGGAATAGCTATCGCAGTATAAAGCACCTTTATATAAATACAGCTGTAGACTTGACATGTCAGAACTTGAGACAGCAGGGAATGTCTGTGGTGAAACTTGGACACCTTAGCAAGCAAGAACCATGCCAAGCCCTGATACTGTGGTGGGGGAAACTGTGACAGAATGATAACTGGAGTGTCTTTAGTGGCCAAAACTCAGCAGGGCATGCAGAGCTCCACTGAGGGTGTAATATGATTGTGCATCATCTTCAACCTGCAGCATTGGCTGATCTCCTATCATGCTAACCCACCCCTTGAACACCATGCAGAGAGATGGGGTACCCCCTCTTCAGCTACCTCCACTCTGCAAATGATTCCAGGACATTGCTCTTACCTTGCCCGTTCTTTAGTGATACATCCCATTCCCTCAGGCTAGCACCCCTAATATTGCATCCCTACTCTCCACATTATTTTCTCTTAAATACCTCCTTGTCCTACTGTAGAGCCCACTTTGATCCCTGCTCTTGGTTTTCTTTTATGAAGTGGATCCCAGCACTATGCTGAATGTGAGGGAAAGGCACCACAGCTGGACACTGAGCCTCCCACACTTTGACCAGATTGCTGAACAGTCCCAAACAATACTGCACATGTCACAGGTGAGCAGTTTGTGCAACTGGTAACAGCAGGGGACCAAATCTGTAAGATGCCTTCAGTTCAGTTGTCAGCTGGTGAGTTACATGCTGTAAAAAAGCTTTTTAAGACACTGCCTTCTGAGTGGCCATGAAGGCTTTCTCCCATTATATGGAAACCAGATTATTGCTGAACTTATTTGATCCATTCATAGGGAGTAATAAAATATACATTTGGCTCAGTAAAACTCCATCTGGTCTCTGAGATATATTGGCATGGCAAGCATCCACCTTCCATTGCTGTCACTTGCAGTCCCCATCCAGCCATTTATCAGTTCATCTGTCACAAGAAGCAGAAAGATTCCCCTTGCATAGACAAAAAGTCACCTCCCTGAGGCATCTATTTGGGCTACTGGAGTGGCACATTTTAAGCCTGTAACCGCCTAAAAAGGATTCATGAGACTGCCCCTTCTGCTCAGGTATTCAGAACTGTCTCTGTACAAGGAAACTGTATAATGGGGAGGAAAAGCATTGGGAATTGAAAATTAATCACTCTTGTTTTTTTCTGTAAGAGCTCTTTTGTAATGCTTTAAGAGCAGACAGGAGTTAGCTGGTTAGGAAAATCAGACTGAATGCCTTCTTTTAAGATAAAAGGTGATTGATTTGCAGCTGTGCAGACACAGTCTTAATCTACCTCATGTTTATCAGGTTCAAAGGCACTTTTATCAAATTCACCAGAGAAAAAGAAGTGCTGCAGGTTTGAGCTTAACTATCCTACTGGTACCTGTAGGTCAAGGCTGAGACCTTCAGGTCTTTCCTTTCACAGAGGGTGACTGACTTCCCTCTTGGTCTAAGTTTATTGAAGCTTCTGGCCTCTTGCAGTTCCTTGTGATTACAAAACTGACTCAGTTACTTTTCAGAAGCATCACATTATTTCAAGACAAAAATATTACTGAGTAGTATCAAGTTTGTCAGGTTTAACTGATGCTTGGGGTTATTAATTTTTATGTTGTGTGTTTCTGAAATTTTGCTGCTCAGACATGCCCTGTCAGTGTGCTCTTCTCCCTCCCTGCTTTTTGCCCTATCGAGTCAAAAATCCATTATCATGTTGCTTGAGGGCATTAAGCTTCCCAGTCTTGTTCAATTGTAAGATTATTCTTAACTACACTTTTAGGTTCTCAAAAGGACACCTATTGATCCATTAACCTGTGAACATTTAATGTGTGGGGGATCTGGAGATAAAATTTTTACTTTTTCTGGGCTTTCAAAGTCTCATGTCTTTTTGTAAAAGAGACTCTTAGACCATTCAGTGTGGATAAAAAGGCTCAGAACTGGAGGTCAGAGTGACAGACAACAAAGTTGACCTAACTGCGGAGGTGTGTGAGGACTGTTTCAGAGTAGTAGGAAAAAATGGGAATAAAGGAGGTCAAAGAGTTTCAGAAGATGCTTCTGACCGAGTATTTTTGCCAGGTCCTGAGCTGTAATGGGAAATATGGAGTGTAATTCAGCTCCAGATTGCAGACGTCTAAATTTAGGTATTAAATATAGGTGACTGCCTGTGACACATATCTCAAGTTCCATTTCAAGCAATGGAGATCAAGTCCTTAGAGTTACTGGGGCCTGGAGAGCTGTTGAGCTCATCCTAAATTAGACACCTACCAGGCCAGTCTGTCAAAGACCCAGTCGTGCTGCTGCTGAGATACTTCTCAGTTCTTAAACTTTGACAAGTCTATTTGGTACATCCCAAGATGCCCAGGCTTCCCCAAAGACAGAATAATCACACATCTCTCTGGTGACTGTGTTGGCAGGGGGAAACTATGATTGTGTTTGCCCAGCCAGAAACACACCAGATGGCTGGAACAACTGAGTGTAATGCATCCTTTGGGGCAAACCTCCTTGAATTTCCCAAAACCTGCCTGTGTACTTGCTCATTATACATGATAGACACAAGAAGGATGTAAACATGACATCAAGTGCTCCTGGGCAGCCAAAGAACCTTGTCTGTTCACAGCCTCTCTGCCAGGCCTGCTTACTATCATGGCCATAGTCTCACTTGTGGGGCTGTGGACAAGAGCTGCAGGACTCAGGGCTCTTCGGTAAGAGTGGTTGGATATATCTTAAGTAAGCACTATCAACTGCTAAGATATGGCAGAATAACCCTGGCACTGCATACACATGGATTATATGTATGGAACATATAGGGAAGGCTAAACCAAAATTTTATAGCTCCAGCACTAACATTTATAGCTCACTTGTTTGCCAGAGAAAGGGCATGTTCATAATGTATTTCTCTTTTAGCTTACCCTCTACTCAAAAGGTTAAAAAAAAAAAAAGAAAAAGCCCAAACACACCCACAATGACATGATCAGAACTTATTTTTATCTCATTGTTTGTAGAGTTCACTTACAGGATTACAAATCTTTTTGGTATATTGCACAAGAATTACAAGAATTCAACTACTAATGAATTTTAACCATAGAACATGAGTACTGAACATTTCTGGGAATACTGTTCAACATAAAATGTGTGAACACACGAATACTTAGCAGAGTATGTTAAGAGATACCATCAGTTAATATAGGAGAATATATAAGTAATTGACTGGTTCTTCATGAGAAGATTCTTGGTCCCTCGCTGCTCATTGCACATTCCCTTCACAAGGTATTTGTGGTACACATCTGACTTGAAAACATCATCAGCTTTGTCTGTGCCACTGTTTTTACACGGTCTTGCCCTTTCTTGTTGTTGTTAGGCTTCCGTTTGCAACTAAAAGCTGCTACTTCCATCTGCTGTGGGCAAAAATGTGCTTCTGAAAGACTTTCACTGTCCCTTGGCAGCGTGCCACAGAAATATTTCTGCACAAAAGCAGTAGCTGTCAGTGCTGGATTTTAGGGACCGAGGGATCATCTTGAATACTTTACAGCATACTTTTATATAAATTATTATTAGGTTCCTGCAGAATTTGCTGTGCCTGGACTTCTGAGCCTATTACATTTTCAAGGTGTGCAGAGTGACTGATGTACAGCTCACTGTCCATGCAAACACAGAGCAGCCTGACAAGCTGCAGTGCTATGAATCTTCTCCCTTTTCCTACTTTTAAGAGATCTTGAAAGAGAAGTGTTTAATCTTTTGTAACCCATACTTATCACTGTACTATTCAACAAAATATTCTCTCCAATACCTTTGTAGTGATTACTGACAGCACAATTCTTTTGATTGTTCATCAGATTTATAACCTGAGACAACACTTGAGTGGGCACAAACAAGCAGACAGGAAAACAGAGAAAATCGAGAAGTAATTAATGGTCAGCATGGGGAGGACAGTACTTCAGCACACCTGCAGCATAAGAGTTTCAAGATTTTTGCTGGAAAGCTTTGAAAAACACAACACATTCACTCCATAAATGCTTGTGGCATCCTTCACTCATAATGTGATGGCTGAAGGAGGAAGTGCCAAAGGGATGCACTGAGAAATGTAACACATGAGCAGTTATTGGCTGGAATCAGCATCTTTATGGAGAGTGAGGGATAACAACACAGCGCAAACATGCTAAAGAGGTTTGTGAAAATGAAGACAAGGATGTATTTGATGAGCAAGAAAAAAGAGCAGAGAATAAATGTCTGGAGTTCAAAGCCAAACTAATGGAAAGCACCTGGAAGAAACAAATAGAAGGCAGGAGCTGTTAACATAATGTGGTAAGGTTTAACTCAGCAAGTCCCTAAGCTGCTGGTTATAGAAGAAAGAAAGGAACCCTCTCTATTTCTAGGTTTTTGCTCATCTCTGGCTGTCCACAGGTGGTTTCAAGGAGTGCAAGGTAACGTAAATACAAAGGAGAAATCTTGCAAGTTAGGAAGGGTTAGAAATTTGCACTGTCAAATATTTTGGAAACTTTGCACTGAAAAGTAATTGCCTCTACATTATTTTCTCTATTTCTCTAAATTTCTCCACATTTTCTCACCTAATGACCAGCAGTACAGTATGTGTTCAGACACCATGTTTTTTTTACCAGGACAAATAGGAGAATAAAGAATGTATATAGGATGTATATAGGATGTATATAGGATGTATATAGGATGTATATAGGATGTGGAACTCAGCACCAGAAACTTATCTGTATTAGTCACAAATGTCTTAGTCTTAGTTAGCTTGCTAGAGAAAAACTGTGACATCTGACTAAGACACTGGTATCCAAATAAACCAAATTCATGCACAGTCTACATCAGATTATTTGTATGATACAGAAATCTCTTAAATTTGCTGAATTTTCCCTCCAACCCCTCAGCACCTTGTGTGCTACATGTTACCCCCAGAGCTTCTCTGCCATCAGAGCCACTCACCATCTCTTAGCATTTTTTCCCCCTTAATATAAAATGAAAGAAGTTTTGAAGCAAAAATTTAAATGCTAAAATTCTCTTCACCTAACTCTTGTAATTTAAAATTTGGCCTAATAATCTAAAACTCAATCTACTGATTCAATTCAGGGTGAATAAATTGAGAATGGTTCCTTTAATTTCTTGGAAATATGTATGTACTTACGTTTGCAAAGATATTGTAAGCTCTTTAATCTACAACTTCAATTGTTTTTCTTCACCTCAATATCAAAACCATGGTTCAGCTCACTAGAGGGAAAATCCTGTATTAATAGTCATTGATTGCCCACATCAGGGGACCTGGCAGAGGACGTCACTGCCCACTCCTTTCTCAGGTATCTAGGCTCTCCTTGGGTGGAAAAGACGTCCAGGGAAGGAAAAGCAGCACAAACATCTGGCTTTCCCACCCAAGTTAGGGTGGAGTCAGAGTGGATATCTACTGACATAGTACATGTTGTTTGATCTATGACATATATTTACCAAATAATTTCTCTCTCTCTCTCTCTTTCTTTTGCAAGAGTGGTAACATTTTTTGAGCTGTCAGACACAGTCTGAAAATCTGAGACTTCTTTACAAAACAGGTCACAAAACCCAGGATAGGGAAGACATTAAAAGGACTGTATTCAAAGATCTTTAGCAGCTGTTTCTGTCTCTTTCCTGTATTTTTATACTAATATTTTGAAATTTTATGATGTGTTTTTAATACATTTCCTTCATTTATTGCTGGAGAATATTAACATATTATTATTGAGCTGTTTAGGTGTCCATGGCCACTCTTCTCATTATTCTTCTCATTTTTAATGTGTTCATTAATACTTTTGTTTCATTTTTAATGTGTTCATTAATACTTTTGTTTGAGGGAAATAAAAGAAGCATAGATATAATAATTTGCCTATATAGCAAGCTTCAGAAAAGCTGTCTGTGTTTCTGAGCTCTCAGATTTAATTCTATCTGTCCCTTTAATGTCAACTGAACACTTAATACTGATGAGAAGACAGCTGGCTGCTCCGACATGGATGTACAACATCTGTTGGCTGCTCTATGAGCATAAGACTTGGAACAGCTTCCACTCACTGTGCACCTGACTTTTTTGAAAATGATCCAGTTTTTGTGTTTGTGAACTGATTTGATGCCTTTATTCATCACAGAGCATCTCCTCATCCCTTCTTTATCCATCCTTGAATGTGTGCCACACCATCTGAAAATAAAAGATTGAATTGGAAGGATGACACTTGTTTTTTTAGCTTTTTCACAGTTCTTCAAATATTTTCTTTAAAACAAAAGTAAATGAGTTTTGGAGTGCCTGCTAGTCTGTGTGACTCTTTGTTGCCCTTGCCACAGGTGGCAGAAGTAAGAAAATGAAGCACCCAAATGCTCACAAGCGTAGAGCTATGAGTGAGGAGATGCTAAAGAATCCACATAGGGATGGAAAGTCTCTGTTTCTGCAGCACCTGAGCTGTGTGGTCTCACTTCTTTGATGAAGAAACAGGTAAAGCTTGTGGCTAGGAAGAGTGCCTGAGAGATTAGTTAAATCAGCCATGTTGGAATCCATTGCAATAAAGAAATGTAAAGCTTCTAGGTCCCTGAATGTAGCTGGATAATCCTCCAGCAAGGAGAAATATTTTTGGGGCTGTAACCTGCACTCAGGATGCTTCGCATGCTGCTGGCAGCTTCCAGCAGAGTGTCACAAGGTGTGTTGCAAATACTGAATGTGTGCATATGCAGATGATGACTTTCTAACTCTGAAAATGCTTTCTTTCCAGCACACAACACAGGCATGTCATTCCATGCCATTGTGAATATGTCCATACAGTTTGCTAAAATCATCCTTTATGTTAAAGGAGTAAATGGGGAGATGGGAACTTTACCCTCAACACAAAAGTAAGAGGGGATGCATGTCACTGCTTCTTTCCACTTCACCTAAGGCACTTTCTCAGGGCAGGACCTGCACAGACATACACACCTGTATAATCTCCATACACACCCATATAATCTCAAATGCAAACTGATTTTCAGGGTGGGTGGGGAGGTGTTAATATACTCAGTCTTAGGCACAGGGCTTGCAGACCCAAAGCTGAGAAGGTAAATTCTCCTGGGACATGCATTCCCAAGCAGCTGGCTGTAGATATTGTCAACAGCATGACATCCAAAATTCCTGTAACTGTGTTTGCTGGCACATCACTTGAGTGTCTTGGTCATTGTTACTGTCTGCAGATGGTGCTACATGAATGCTTCCACACATGTTCTGGGCTGAAGTTATCTTACTTGAGTGAGGGTGAGGGGAGCTTACTGGGATAGGTACTAGGTGTTATCCAGGGTCCAGCCTAGCTGGGACTTTGGGTTTGGCCCAGAACCTGTAGGTATCATTGCTATAGAAATAATCCTTTTTGCCTACTTTGTCAAGATATGAGAGGATTTAGGCTATAAGCATTTCAACAGGTGTCTGCTCCTTCCCTTTGACAGGAAGAACAAGATTTCTTCCTTTAGCTGGTCTACTGTAGTCCATAGGTCAGGAAAGCAAACCCACTTCATCTGCTTTTTAGCTACAATAAACTGTGAATTGGAACACCTAAACTATGTGCTTGATTATGCTGGTCCTCTTCTAGGTGTGTATGGATCTGAAATTTTTTTGTGGTATTGTGACTTTGTCAGGTACCTTTTACACAAATGTGAGGAAATATGGGCACAACAATTTCCATTTTTTATTGTAGACAGAATCAGATTTGAGCTTATGTCTGTGGTTGTGGTAAGGCTAGAGTCTGCATGTGATGATATCCAAATCCTCTTGACATGCATTCTCCATGAAGTCTGAAAGGTAAAGGTAGAACCCATTTGCATTAATTTGGGTGTTTGAAGGTGATGTATTTAGCCTTAGATTACATTATAGTCTCTTTTCATAAGCAACAAACGGGGAAATGTACCATCAAAGCTGATATGTGTCACCCTAAAACGAATGTCTGTAAGAAGTTAAGCAAGTATAAGGGACAATTCCTCTGTTTCCTTCCATTACCCTTGAAGAGGGCATGGTGTACTAGCTCTGGCTGCTGTGGATGACTGTGGGTTGGTGGCAATATTTCAGTGTTTATGGAACTTGGCCATAGAATCCCTCTTCACAGATGACAGAAGTAGAACACAACTATGATGGCTGTCTCTCAACTACGACAAGAATAAGAGGCAGCAGGACCTGGGATGACAGACATTTACAGTGACCATCCGGACTGGATGGCTCTCCTCCAGAAGCGACGAGGAGTGGAACAGCTGACTTGCTAATAAATATCTACAAACGTTCATCTCACATTTATTATGCCACCCGGAGATGAAACCCTAACCCTGAATCTAACTCTAACCCAAGGAGTACCAGCTAAGTTATAGATATTTTATTTTTCCATTCTCCTGCAGAACAGAAATACTGCCAGCACTGAACTCATGCTAGAGGAATTGCAAAGAAATAACAACCAAGTACCAACCAGAATAGTAACTCATTGAGAATTACAGAATACTAAGGGGATTGCAATTTAAAAGCAGCTTTCGTGAAGATAAATTCTGACTAATTTTGTGTCCTTTTTTTTTTTTTTTTTTTTTTTTTTTTTTTTTTTTTTGGTAGCAAATTAATGAAGGGAGAAAGAAAAGGAGGCAAATAATTTACTGGCTGAACTTTTACACAACAGGCAGTAAAAGAAACTTGAAAACCATTGGGTTGCAGGAGCTGTTTTGTCATTAATCAAAACTTGCAAGATAAAGGACACAAAGGGTAATAAAATTAGTTTGAAATGAGGTTAAACTTGAATTGTTCAAGTCACCACTACATGTAAAATTTGCTTGTGTGCTATCATCAGAGTTAAAACAGAATTAGCCAATTATTATAAGAAGTTGTATAATTAATTAGGAAACTCTTACAGATCTAAAAAATTATTCAGAGTCTAGCACTTACTTTCATCAAACTTCATTTTATTAATCTGTGCTGTGAAAATTTCCTACAATATTACTTTATGCAAGAATCTCTTGGAGTGAAGAAGGATTCCGTTTCTTCATACAAATCCCTGGAATACCTCCATTTGCTAGGTTTCAGGTTCTGCATTTTTTGGTGCCCATGGAGTAGGATGGGAGTGCAGCTGGTTGCAGCTGCTCGTGCTTTATACCTCTCGACATCGTAGAGCCTGGCTGTGAGCCGTGAGCGTGCCATCGCGAGTATGTTGTCTTGAACATTTGGCCAGAGGCGTGCAAAATAGAAACCCTGATGCCTGAACAGTTGCACTGACCAGGTGTCCTTGGAGGTTGGCTGGGGACACAGATGCTTCTTTTTACACTTTCTAGGAAGCATCCGGATGCAATTGAGCGAGCTAGGAAAAAGAATCTCTTCTTCATTCCTTGGAAAGCTGAGGTAGTGTGGAAGAAATGCTTCAGGTTTTCCAGAATGCATTCCTAAAATGGTTTGGTGAAGAAGAAGCATGTCTGACCAGGGAAATGGGCAACACGGTATCATGTTTTTGGAGGGGTGAGGTGAGTGGAGGAACTCCTGCCCTGTGGAAATTACCCAAGGTTGTTCTTTGATGCCTTCTGGGCTTTGTGGCATCACAAGGGTGTCACACAATGGGAGCCACAGAGCCTGTCACTGGTAATGTTACCACAACTTGTGGAGATAGTTTTATTTAACTGCCTTTGCAAATGGCTGCTGGAATTGAGTGGAGAAAGTTTTGGGGGGGGACAAGCATCTGGCAGAAGCATTTCCTTGTTTACAAGGATGAGAAAAGTGGGTGTAATTCAGTTTGAGAATTTCTTAATCTCATTTGAGTTCTGCTGAAAACAGAGTCTTGATCTTACCTGTTCTTTTTGCACACCCCTGTCCTTCAGCCCTTGGAAATACAAAGGCTTTCTGGACAAGAATATTTTCTGTAGCTGAGGGAGCAGTGGGTAACCAAGTGATCTGCTCCAGAACCACAGTCAGCATCACTGACACATCCATTAAAGCCAGAAAAGTGCATGCAAGAAAAATTAGTGAAATATCATGGTCATTAGCCTGTATGCAGTGCCTCTTAGATTGTCAAATAAACTGTTGAAGATTAGAGCTTTGTTATTCTCTTTATTGTAGGCATAAACCAAGGGATGGAATAGTGAGGAAATATGAATAAAATCACTCCTAAACTTTTGACCAGGATGGCATATTACCAAGAAACTATTGAAGACTTTGCAACATCCCCCCCTTTTTTTTTTTTAATACTTCCATGTGGGGTGAGGGTCTGTAGTGACGCAGAGTCCCCAGGCAGGTGCCAAGAAGAACTGCTGTACTGCAAAAACCAGGCCTTTTTAGCAGTTAGCCCATTATCAGCTGCATACTTTTAAATCATAACAAATAAAATTCAACCAACCACCATACACCAGGATGTGAACATGCCATGATTACATAACTTGTTTTCCTACCCCTAATTCAGCTGAGTCTCTTTCCCACAGTCCTTTTCTGCTTAGCCAAACTAACAGGCCTGAGCCATGATTTTACAAGGCCTTCCCTTTGTAAGGTTTTACCTATATGCAACACCTTCAGGTTAAAATGCCAATGGAATTAATAAAAATTAGGAGTGTTCAGCAGAGCAGGAAAGACTGCAGAGTGCTGCTGCTGTGAAAATTAATAGAGACATTCTGGAACCCTGGCTCCATTGCATGACTGAGTCCGTAACCTCAACTATTGAAAGGTCATTATATATGTAGCTTTGGGGGATTTAATAAAGCGTTTCAAAGATTGGAGGTTATAAGAAAAATGAAAAATAAATTAAATATGTTCATTACAGTATCATTGCTTCATTTTGCCTTCAGAAACTGGCACGTACGGTTTGGCTGAACAGACATGGAACAATTTATTTTGATCAGTATGAAATACAACCCATTTTACCCTGCTCCTCTTACTCTTTCCATGGCTCAGGTTGCATGGAGTTTGATTAATGTGCATGCTTTATATGGGGTAATTTTTACTTTTATATCCCCTCCCATAGCTATATAAAAAGTCAGCATCTAGCGTGGATGGGAACTCCTGTGTTAGAGAAAACACACACATGTGCATTTTTTCTTTCCCTGAATTTTTGTTCTATGGTTTTGAAGGAATTAACTTTCAGGCTCCTAATTTTTGCTCTTTAGTGAACATAGTATTGGGCTAGGAAGAGAGCAAGCCTAGAAATGAGTAATCAGCCAGAGTCTTCAATAGAATACCACCCCAACAGCTACAGACTT